TACGAAAAGAATTCTCTCTTAAGGTGTTTTTGTGCTTGGATTATTAAAAATGTGAATATTATGTTTCATCAAGCAARTGTTTTTCAGAATTTTTTCCCAGAATTTTTTCCAAGACAAAATTTGCTTGATGAATAATAATTCATATCTTTAATCTCAGGGATGGCGGAACCAGGGGGCTGGGGGAAATTTTAATACATTTTCACTAAACTCAGCCCCCCACCTTGCCATACAATGTCATTATTGAGCCCCCTCAATCAAAAAACTGCTCCKCCGTCCCTGAATCTGTAAGCTGATTAAAGTTAGTACCATTTGCTTTAGCTATTTATCTATCTAAAGCAAGGTCCTTGAAGAATAAGCAATAAATTAATTTCATATGGTTTTTTCCCATTCACCTACATGTCACATACATTTTTCTCAGATTTGTTTTGAGAAGAATTTGCTTGATGAAGCATAATTCACMTCTTTTATATGTAAACTGATCAATGTCAGAACCATTTGCTCTAGCTATTTATCTACCTAAAGCAAGGCCCTTGAAGAATAAGAAATTAATATAGTTTTTTATGGTCTTCTTTCCCATTCAACTTATGCCACACTAATTGGAGTCTTTAGCTCACAGAAGATGTGCTCAGCAGGCCCTTACCCTGTTTATTTGATATGAGTTACTATATTTGGACATACTGAWATTGTTATCTATTGTATACAGGATGCTATCTATAGAGAACAGATGTTGGAAAATAGATTAACAGCTCTTCAAAGACTTATTCATAGCTCTCAAAATATTCTTGATGACAATTGTCAGGTACATTCTAACACCATATTAGCCATTCCAAGGTTGAGAGAGAACTGGGGTCAAGTTGGCATTACAGTGCATGGTGGAAGTATTTTAGGGGATGAAATAGACGCTATCTTGAAATACGTCCCTAAAACAGTCCCACAATACACTTCAATGCCAATTCAGCGCAGTTTTTTCCTTAACCTCCAAACAGATAATACCATTAGCATTGTAATGATTGCTCATTGACCTTACTTAGCGACATCTAAATGTACAAGACTGCCTAACAAATGTTCTTTCCAACGCATGGACCTTTCTCATGCAGCAGCTATGCTGGCTGTATCATTAGAAAAACCCTGAGTATAACCCTAAGCCTGAAGCGAGATGAAGTTTTACCCCTGTCTCTAGACCATAATCCTTTTCACTGCTTTTGTTCTTTAATTATGAATATTGTTCCTGTAATCTCTAAGGATTCAAAAATTTTAATATGAAAGAATTTTAAAAACTATTATGATAAAGAGTCGGGGTAAAACATCTCGCTTCAGGGTCATTGGCACCAAATTGTTTTATTCTCATGAGAATAACCATGGCTGCTACATGATGGCTATCAGGCTTATTGGCATCAATTTTTTTTATTCTCATGAGAATAACCATGGCTGTTACATGATGAGGGTTCCTGTAGATCGAGATCATACATCAGTGTTTATCCCTTCCTTTTTTACTKCTTTCTCATTCTCAGTACTTTTATTATAAATACTTCATACATGAGTGAATTAGTAAATGATTGAATTGATGAATGAAAAATTCCTGTTGTATTATCATTATAAAATCATTGCCTTAAATGAAGCTTCTAATGTATTTAACTTATTTTATAATTTTCCTTCTTATTTATACTTGGTTTAAATTAGTTTTCACTAGTCAATACATATAAGTTATTTACCAGCCAGGAGGTCTGGATAGGGAAAAACTGTGCTCGAGGTCTGGAATAGACGTACCAAGGCCGTTAGGCCGAGGTCCGTTTTAAGAACAAGGGCACAATTTTTTCCTATCCAGACCGACTATAGGACAGTAAATAACTTATTTATTTTTTCCCCACATTTTTTTAAGCTTGTTTTTGTAATCGTTTTGTGTTGTCGTTTAGTGGCAAAGGATGCCAGACCGTGCGCGCAGGCAGATACTGACAAAATACCGCCTGCGCAAACAGCCAATCAGAACGCACGATTTTTTAAGATACCAGACCGGAAAAAAATAAATTGCAATATCTTCAGTTATGATTAATAATTAACTAATGCCATTGAATGAAACTTTTTTTTTTTCATTTTCTTTTCTTTTACTCCTACCTAATTGTTTTGCCATTTTTATTATTTTATTTTTAATACCAATCCTTTTTTAACAGAAATTTGCACAAGAGGATAAACTTCTTTCAAGATTAGAGACGTTAGAAAACCAAATAGAAGCTCTTACTAGAGTGAGTGGCCTCTTTTATTAAATTTTGTGTTATTCATCTTTTTTTTCTTCTTTTTCTTCTTTTCTTTTCATTCTGGCTTGCACCTTGCTTTTCTTTATATCTCTTCTTTCTTTTTTGCCTTTCTTTTTTTTTTGTCACTGACTAACACATGCCCCCTTTAAATGCCATAGTGTTGGCAGATTCCTTAACACTAACAGTGCTAATCTCAGCAATGCTCATCTGAATCACAGTGTATAGTAGTACCACAACATATTTGGGACCTTAAGCATTGTCAATCTTGGATGTAATGTTCTAG